CTAAACAACAATATATTTAATATATTAAAAACACTTGATATGAATATATCAAATTTTATCTAAACTCACAAATTTCAATAAAAATATGTTTTATCAATTTTTTTTTATTAGCATTTGTCAATTATTTTATAATATCTTTTTTTATAAACTATTTGTAAAATATGCGAAAACATAATGAAAATTTTATTTCAATTTTATAATATTTGAAATTTGCGGTAAGTTATGAAAATTTGAAATTTACGGTAATTTTTGAATGATTAAAATTGACGGTAATTATTAAATCTTTGAAACTTGCGGTCATTTTTAATTGTTTGAAATTTACGGTAATTTTTGAATGCTTGAAATTTACAGTATTTTCTGAATGTCTGAAATTTATGGTTATATATTTATTCAAATAAATTTGTCAATTATTTTATAATATCTTTTTTATAAACTATTTGTAAAATATGCGAAAACATAATGAAAATTTTATTTTAATTTTTTAATATTTGAAATTTACGGTAATTTTTGAATGCTTGAAATTTACAGTATTTTCTGAATGTCTGAAATTTATGGTTATATATTTATTCAAATAAATTTGTCACTTATTTTATAATATCTTTTTTATAAACTATTTGTAAAATATGCGAAAACATAATGAAAATTTTATTTCAATTTTTTAATATTTGAAATTTACGGTAATTTTTAAATGTTTGAAATTTACGGTAAGTTTTGAAAATTTGAAATTTACGGTAATTTTTGAATGTTTGAAATTGACGATAATTATTAAATCTTTGAAACTTGCGGTAATTTTTTATTGTTTGTAATTTACAATAATTTTTGAATGCTTGAAATTTACAGTATTTTCTGAATGTATGAAATTTATGGTTATATATTTAATTCAAATAATAGTGAAAATCATTTAACACTATTACGAAAAAGAATATAAAGACAATAATAAAATTAATACGTTAAGTAATATTACTAATTAATCTAACTTTTATTTATATTGCATTCCTTTATATCAACATATGTAGATATTACTTTTACTATTCGGCTTAGTTAGGGTTAGATTATTTTTTTTTAACTATTTTTCTTGGAAAAAATGTCGGCACTTCCTGGGTAATCCTAGTTATTATTTTTATTGTTTCGTTTGGTAAAAACTGAGGGAAATATTCGTGATAGACGAAACGAGACTCTGGTCACGCTATTATATAAGTCTGTTTATATATATATATAAACTTACATAAGTCTATATATATGTACTTATGTATATATATATATATATTATAGCTAAATATAATATTATTTTTGTAAACAAGTGTAAATATTGACTGCAATCGCGAACGTCACATCAAAAATGATTAAAAATTAATCAACATCAATAATGTTCCGCAGAGACAGGCCAGGCCATTGAACAAAAAAAAAACACATTAGATGATTAATTCGACGTCCATTGCAGAACGTTATGTAATGCAAGGAAATAGATAAATAAAAAGAAACATTCAAATGTTGGTACAAAGATAAAGTTTCATTGTTTCTCGAAAAAATTGTGTTTTCATAAAATCGATTGATTTTAGGAAACTGGAAGCTAACAAACGGAAATTGTGCATCGATGCAAGGACGAGACCGACGCCGTTAAAATGAAATATCATCGATTTTCTAATTCAATTATCCTTAGGGAGAATTCCCAGCGCCACCTGCCGCTTAATGAACGTACCTTGTAATACCAATCGCCACGTGCAGAGAGCGCCAAATGCGGAGCATCGATTTTCCGCAGATAATACTCACCTTCGCTTTTCTTCTGCAAATCAAGGATCAGGGATCAAGTAGGAGTGAATTAATAGACTGTGTGTTAATTAAATCGAGATCGCTTTAATTGTTCGCAAAGCTTACAAACTAAATCTTAATATTTCAATGGCTATCCTAAAAACAACAATTGCTTAGAAAAACTATATGTATATATGTTGTAATAATATACGAGTCGTCGGCATGTTACATATACATACATGTATGCGGTGACAAAAAAATCATAATCGTACATATCTGTTTATGTAGGTCCTTGCGACTGTTATTTTTTTTAATTATTATTATAATTTTTTCACTTTAAATTTCGCGTTTTTCGCTCCGAATTTCAAAAAAGTACATCATTCACTAATAACAAAGAAATTAGAAAACCATTACAAATTATATAAGAATAAACAAAAATTGATTGCTTATGGTTCTCCGTCTCCAGGGCTTTGAAACAGTTTCATCCTTGCTCATAAACCGTGTGCAATGTCCTTTCCAATGTTCTCGCTAATAATATATATGTATATATATACACATTTATGTATATATATATAGGTATATATTTACTCTCCTAATCAACTGACTATCTACTAATTTGTTGTAATAATAAATATGTAGGAAAAAAAAAATGTTTATATTTAATTATAAATAAATAAAAACTGCGCTTTTTGTACTGAAATCGCGGAGGAACAAAATATTTCTTTAACAATTCGTAAACGCACTCACTCTCATTGTCTGTGATCCGCAACAAACGACAGAAACGCAACGAATTCATTGCGTTTTTTCTCTCGAAAAAAAACAAATAAATATTTTTTGTTTTTATATAAATTTATGGGAAGTGTGTATTTTAGTGTTGTGTTGTGTGTGTGTGCATATGGGAAGGAAAAGTTGATCTCTTCTCGCTGTTACATCATCCAATATCGCGAACGCTTCTGTTCATACAATTTATTTATTTAATCATCGGCGGCTCACAAACGAATTAAACAAGAAGAAACAGAAATCAAATTTTTAAACGTAACGAAAATCCTCACAAAACAAAAACAAAAGACATCTCGCCGTCTATATACTTAATCGTACATATATATAAATATATATTTATTGTGTCTGTGTGTGTCTCTCTGTGTATTTATATTTATATATATGTAATGTTAATTATATAACGGTAACAAGCAGCAGAGCGGTGTGTATAACAAATGTACTTCTTAGGAATGCGAATGCCTGTATAAATGTAAATATTAAAATTATCACGTTCTTCTCAATTGTTTGCTCTTTATTTATATTTTTTTTTTGGTGTATGTGTGTGTATATATATATACATACATATATATATTTATTATATATTTTTATTCTCACTTTAAAATAAACAAACAAAAACAAAAAACTTTTCTTTTTGGCGGCCAGCAGTGGTGGTTTGAACAGCGAAATCCTCTCTCTCTCTCTCTAACGACTCATTCGCTCCTAACTCATTCCTATTTGTTCATTCTCTCATGCATCTATCTACAAGTATCTAAACGTCCGAAACTTTATTGTTTATTTACTCCGAGTACGAATGGCTGGGTAGGACAACAAACAGAACAAAGAACGAATCTAAATGAAACTAGAAACAGTTCAGCTAGGATAATTGTATATTTTTGTTTCATATTCTCTTTCTGTCCATCTCCAAGGACAAAAATAAATAAATTAAATAAAATATATAGTAGTAGTAGTAATAATGTTAGTAATAATAATAATAATCAATATTCATTATGATCTCTCTTCCTCTACGGTTTAAGTTATTATCGTGGTGATTTCTGTGTTCGCTTCGTCCATCCATCGATTCGGTACAAAACGCAATCCGGTACCTAAGGTTTCCGTTAATCCCGTAACCTGACTAATCCCGCTCTTACGTAATGTTCGTGGTCATGGTCGCGTGGCTAAATCAAAATCCAAAAACAATTATTCACTTACACATATATCATTTGCAACGATTTCATAAATTACTCATTATACAATATATGTACATATATATATGTATATATATATATGCATACATACGCGTCAACATGTATATATATAGATATATTATTCTGTTATCAATTATTATACAACAGAACCTAAGCATCTTTTTTTTTTAGTTAAAATTTCACAATTCTTAATTTCATTAATATATATGTATATATTTATATATGTTTGTATATATATATACATACATATATATAGAATATAGATATAATCGTTATTAAATTGCCAACACTTTGCTCACCGCTTCATCGAATTTTATTAATTTGTGCGCATTTTCATATCACCGTTTTTCTAACGAACAAAGCAAACGGACGAAAAAAAAATAACAAATAACTTTCGTCTATACAAGTTACACGAATCTTTTAATAATAATTCTTTCTTTTTCAATTACTTTAAATTTATTATTATCCAATAGTATATATATACGCATGTTTATATATATATATATATAATAATTATTAACTTTATTAGTATTATTAGTGTCTCTTTTGTTAATCGCTTACATAAGTTATTATATATATATATTTTTTTCTTCTTCTTCTTCAATTATTAATATTATATGTTATAATTCTTTTTCATCGTCATTTCAATTTCAATTCAACAAACATTAATTTATTATGGACAGTGTTCTTTGCGCACAGAGGATTGTTTCTTTACACGTTACAATTATTATTATTATAATAAACCTTAAGAATTACAATTATCCTTAATTTATTATTTTATTACTTGATCAAAGTATATTATTAATTTAGTAATGTTACTCTATTATCATTATTATTATAATATAATTCGCGATTAGCAGGCGAAGTAAGAACTTGTTTTCGGGTTGCATTGAAGGCACGCGGCTACGATGGCGCAACTACCGTCAAATGAATTGCTTGGGAAATAGCAATCGATTTATCGGAGCGCAATTGAATAATATCTTTTTTTTTTCTCTTTCTTTAAATTTTTTTTTTCGTCTCTCGTTATATAACTTTTTTTTCCGTTTTTCTCTCAATATATTAATATGTATATATATACATATACGTGTGTATGTATGTATATATATATATATA